TTTAAAACCATTAAATGTGTATTCCCAATCCATAGCCAGTCCTGCAGACGGATTATGTCGACAAATCCCCACTTTTCTCATTTAGCACTTAGTGCACCATAGTGTCATTTATTATGATTTGAATAAAACCTGGTATTCGCCTTAAAGGGATAGTTCACCCAAAAATGAAAATTTCGCTTTTCTCACCCTCCTGTATGGATTTCCTCCTTTTGTTGAACCCAAAAGCTATTTTGAAGAACGTTGGTAACCATACAGTTGCTGGTAGCCACTGACTTCCATAGTATTTTATTTTTTTTAATTCCAAACTATGGAAGTCAATGGCTACCAGCAGCAAACGTTCTTCAAAATATCTTCTTTTGTGCTCAACAGCTGAGCGAAACTCTTACAGGTTTGCAACAACTTGAGGGTAATTCAAATTTATAGTAAATGATGATACAATTTTCATTTTTGGGTGAACTATCCCTTTAAGACTTGCATTTCTTAAAAATAGCCGTTCTCCAAGTTTCATTTCTGCGAATTATTCATATGCCAGCTAACCTTGTTGCAACCCACATTACTCTCGACTTTACCAAAATTAGCTGTCATTTGTAATTTGGGTCAACATTTGATTTCATATGCCTTAAAATTGTGTACACATGCCTGTTTGAAGAGGACTGATTATATCGTAGCATTTCCGTTTCTTTAAAAAGATTCTGCAGGACAATATGGAGGGAACACAAACACCCCTTGCGAATTGCAGCGTTTTAAGTCCCTCAAAAGCTCTGGTCTTAGTACCGTTTATGCTTCTTGTCATTTATTTGCTCTCTCACTGCCCTCTCTATACAGTTAGCTATTCTTTTTAATACAGCCTTCCAGTGCACCCACTCATACAGCCTCGATAAGGCTGTTATAGCCATTCATAGCCATGCGCGTTACTTTATAATGAATGTCTGAGATGTGTTATGACCTAGAGGGATGTTTGTGTGTATGATTATTTTCTGTCATGCGTTGTTATCATTATGAATGGATATAACTGCCTCTGTGTCGCATTATGTGGGCTCTATGACTGGTATAGAAAGTGTCATATGAATTCTGTGATGTAGTCTCCGAGCCTGCAGTGTCTTAATGAGAGATGCCTTTAAACCATTCTCCAGTGTTGTCCGCTTTAGTGTCATAAGTCGAATTCATGACCAGAAAATGATTAATTCTTTATTCTTTGCAAACAACAAATGTGCATTACCTTACTTAACCATTGGCATTCTGTGTTATAGAAGTTTTTTTCCCCCCTCTGCTTGGTACAATGGCAGTTACCTCAGTTTTACTATTTATGTTTTTTCCCCTTATTCTTTTGCAACGCCAATAAGAGAGCTTATGAATTCTCTTGCATTTGTTTATTGGTTGTTTTAATTTTTACCATTAAAAATACAATTGTATCATTTAACTTGTTGTAGTTTCATATGTATAATATCTGTAACCAAAATCATTTGAAGGCTTGATATAAAGATTTTTAACAAACATTTGTACTTTTTTTTTTTTTTTTTTTTTTTTTTGGAAGATATTACTAGTAATGCTTTACTAAGTAGTCCAAATTTTCTTTGTCTCTGACCCCTATTCCCAGTCTTTTGGATTTTTAAGGGTGGCTCCGTAATAAATGTATAATGTTCTCTTCCTTGACCTTCTCTGTTCTTTACTTTTCCGTCCATTCTCATCTCATCTTTTTTTTTTATCTTTGTTGTCTTCATTCTCATGTTCAAGTTTTACTGCTTAAAGGAATATTCCAACCCCTTCAAAAATGGAAAAATGCCATTTACACTGAAGAAAAAAAATTCAAAACAGTTTTTAGGTGGAAATTGCTAATAAGTTTCACAATGCAGCATCATGAAATTCTGAAAAAGACTGAAATAATATTTCACTCCAGTAATCTTCGATTTATTTACAACCTCAAAAACGTTGTTTACAGTGTACAAAATCTGTATGACATTCTACTGCAGGACATAAAAGAAACATTCATAGCTGAATGTCCAATTAAAGCCAATGCAGGATTTAAAAGGCAAGATTTCTGGAGAATATCAATTTCAAGACTTTGAATATGATCCACTATCACTGTATGAAAAAGAGCAGCTCAGACATTCTGATAAACATCTGTTATGTTCAACAGTAGTAGAAATGTCATATACTGTAGGTTTGGAGTGACACGAGGGTGAGCAAATTATGACACAAATTGCATTTTGGGGTGAATTATCCCTTTAACTTGTCATAGGGATGTTCTGTATACACGCAGAAATGCATCCATAACATTTTAAAATGTCACACTCATCAGTAGATAATTAAATCCACCACTGGTTGCCACTGGTATCAAGTTTGATTGGACCACAAAAGCTATAAAGCTGCTTTATACAGACGTTTTAAGTCTCTGATGCAGCATTTAATTTACTCCAAACCAAAATATCTGGTTGTGTCTGCAAGCAGTGTCTAGAGAGCAACCCAGTATGCTGCTGCATCAATTGTTAATCAAGTTCTATAATCTCATTTGAGCTCTATATGCTTGGAAGACTGCATCACGAAAGCAGCATGAGTTTTGCAACAGTTGATTCTCTGTGCTTGCAGCCAAAACAAGGCACCAAAGTTGGAGTCTCTTTAATTCTAGTTAGATGCGGATCTATGGAATAATTACAGGCAGCAGAAAACGAAGAGAAACGGTTGCATAAATTCTGATACATCAAAAACCAGCATAGTTGCCATGCCACTTAGTCCAGTCTTTTGTCCAGAACTTGTTTCTGGATGTAGGTGTTGTCTTTATTCTCTCCTGCACCTCTCATCTTCATCTTTAATATCAAGCAAGGAAGGAACATTTGTTTACTCTCACTCAGTAATACAGCACCGGATGTGATATTGAAAGTGTAGAAATGGCAAATGCTAATTGAAAACAGTAACTGAACTGGGAATAATGGCACACAACATTCACAAGACAATCCGCACAGAAAGTCTTGCTCACAACAAGATTGAAAAGTCCTTCCTGCAGAGGGTGCATGGCGACTAAGAGGAAAAAAAGGGACTCAGCCAGCCAAAGCTGGAGTGTAATGACACCTATTGGTCATAATATTTCAGTACTGATTCTGGGGACACACAGCACTGCATATTTGGTATCCATCTTTAATCTGACACATTCAGTTCAGCTCATGAAGAAGCCTTATCTCAGTCAGATGTTGAATAAAGGACACATACAACATGTGCAGAGTTCTGGGTCCCCAGGAATAATGCTGTAATATTTTTTTGTAATGATATTCATAATTCTGAACAAACCCCTGAAGAGATTTTGAAGCTGCTTGGTTTGAAAGTGACTTCAGTGTGAGCTGTGTTTCAGATATCACTACACTATTAACAATGGGCCTCATTTTGCCTGTGAAGTTTCACTAATGTGACTGCACCTGTAAAAATGGCACACTGTACAAAGGTCAGAAATGAATCATGGGGCAAATATACCACAGACATTTCAAATGCTGGGGGAGGAATAATGCCAAATATAGTGCACTACATTCTTTAGATTTTTGAAATCTGTTCTCTAAATATTTAATGTATTGCGCTTTATTCCAGTCCTGTATCTAGATATGCTAATATATTAAATGTATTCTAGCAGAGTGTTTGTCTTTTGATACATAAAAAATTATTAATGGCGACTATATATGATGATTTGATTTTATAGGTAACATTGAGTAGCTATTTATTCCAATGAATTGATTCAAGGGTCAAGTATTTGATATAGATGAATAATATAAGGTTTGATTTTATATGGTTAGATATAAAGTCCTAAAGGTAAAAAAAAAAATTAATCCGAAATAAATTTCAGAGGACAATTAAAGCCTTTTCTAAAATTTCTCTCACTGTACTGAGCACAGAAACAGTCTTTTCTGTTCATCCATTTCAATTGCATAATTCTAGATATCTCTGTCTCCCTCTATCCATGGCTTTACAACTTTTTCCAATTATGAATCAACCTAAAATTCGTGCAATGTTTTTGTATTTTCTTCAGGAAACGCACATCTAGTTTTACTTTATATTAATAAACTTATTGAAATAGAGGGTGAAAGACAATATATAGTTATGTTCAGTGTTGGGGGTAACGCATTACAAGTAACGTGAGTTACGTAATCAGATTACTTTTTTCAAGTAACTAGTAAAGTAACGCATTACTTTTTAATTTACAAGAGAATATCTGAGTTACTTTTTCAAATAAGTAATGCAAGTTACTTTTTTTCCCCCAATTTATTGACTGACAGCTCTCCTGTCCCCATGTTGAGAGAAATCAGATGTTACTTTAGTTCTAAAATAAATATGAATATGCATTAATTCATCTCACTCACAAAAAAACAAAACAGATTCAGTATTCCTCAAAATGAATAAAAATAATGCAACTCAGAAATAACACAAACCTGCAATAATTAAATGTTAAACAACACAAATATACTTTATGTATTTAATCCCATTCTATTAAACAATGTCTTTGCTTCTGACCTTCGGTGATCCAGTTCAAGCGTACTAATAAGCACAAATTACTCTAGACAAACATTTGTGTGTTTGTTTATTGCTGAAGTGTGTTGAAATGTCTTCTTCTGCATTCTACTGTACGGACGTAAATGTACTTTCCCTTCAGTCTGAGGTTTATTCATTTCACTTCTGGTGTGAAAAGGCTTTTATATTTGCCAAAAATAGAACTTTTTTATTTTAAAAACAAACCAGCAAGCCCTGTCCAGATTTAAAAAGTAGCGCAAAAGTAACGTAACGCATTACTTTCCACAAAAAGTAACAAAGTAACGTAATTACTTTTTTTATGGAGTAACGCAATACTGTAATGCATTACTTTTAAAAGTAACTTTCCCCAACACTGGTTATGTTTAATATAATATAGAGAGCGAGCGCGAGAAAGAGAGATAGATGTCTGGCCGTAACTGGAGCGGTAACGGAACTGCTCTATTGTTCTCGTTAAATTCCTTTCCCCCGAGCTCTCGCGCATGCCGGTCTCCCGTTCTGTAGGAGAAGAGACGGAGGCTGATGCGCTCGTCTGGCTGGGCTCTACGCATTGGCTGAACGGAGACCTCTGGTGTTTTTTTAGCTTATATTTTTAGCAGCGGAGGTCGGACTCGTACTGCATCGCGCGTGGTTCATCTGCAGTGCTGCTGCGCGCTGGAGAACGCTCGAGCTCAGCATACTGAACGTGCCCGCTGCAACGGCGAGTGCGCTCGAGCAAACACGCAGTTCTGTCTGTTTGCGGAGCGCTGGATATCTCGTCTAGGCTTTCTTAAGTCCATTTTTGTTTTTTGGAAATGGCCAGTCCCGGAGACGATTCGGCTTCAGATGCCCAGCTGGATCAAGCTGACGCTACGCCAGAACCAGCGTTTCGAGAAGCTCAGAAATGGATCGAGGTGAGCTACCCGTCCATGCATGCGCGCAGAGGTGGAAGTAACCATTTCTTTCGCATCATTTTAAGGTTTGTTTCGGCATTCATATAAAGAGGTTACATTACGCTCTGAACAGCTTATAAATATTACACCGTCACCTGTTGTGAGCGTGTGGCGAGTCTTTGGTTATAACAGCGCGGGGGTCATGTGCGCGGGATTCGGGCGCGCTGTAATCGGACTAGCGGCTTTGATGGCTCACCGATTTTTTTTTTCACTCACGCACAGCATCAGCCTATTTTAAATTTGCTGCTAGATTTTAGAATGCAGATCGAGTGGACGCTTTTCCAAACAAAGTATGGTTCATTTTGAAGAGGTGCAGAAACAGAAGGATGCACTCATAATAGTCTGCGAGCGGACACGCCCCCATTTGCTAAGATTCCAGTTGTTGTGGAAGCCAGGAGACACGCCCCCTTTGTCCTACAGACCACGCCCCTTCCCCGAGCGAGACCTGTCATCAGGGCAGCGCACAAGCTTGTTTACGGAGCATTTGTGGCATATAAAGTATTTATTTGACCCGATTCACTGTCTAGTGTGACATGTGAATGTAGGACTATTTCATCCCCAGAGATGTTAAAGGGGTCATATGATGCTGCTAAAAAGAACATTATTTTGTGTATTTGGTGTAATGAAATGT